CTTGTTTAACCCCCGCCCCCCCCACAACCAAATCTTTATATAAAAAAAAACATGTGCACAGACAGAGAGAACAAAAAGTTATCCCTTGGCAAGAATTCTTGCAATTTTTTGCACTTCAAACAGATATAACATAATACTTTCAAAGGTATATTTAACAGACCAAAAGGGAGCAAATAATAGAAGTTTATTGTTATGTTTTACATACACTTCCTGTTCACAAGACTTTTTAGGTGTACATTGAACTGCACATGCAGGTTCTGGGATGAATAAACCTCTGTGCACATGTGCAGGAGTTACATCATCCCGGGTGAAGAAGATGGGGCTAAGATGCTCTTGCTACTTCTGTGTAAATTGGCACTAGCGGAACAGCTCCAGTGTCAAGAGAGTTACAATGTAGCAATGTTATTTTGGTTCTTCATAAATATTCTGGTTCACTTATAAGAGATAAAAAGGAACTTTGCAGGTTAAACAAACTAAAAAGTTAAATTGTGCTGCTATTTAACCCCTGGTTAAACCTTAGATAACCTTGGATGAATTTCTCTGCAGTGCTCGCAGCTATAGAGGTCAGTGAGGTCTTGTTTTAAAGTGAGATCCCAGATATGAATGTCTATGGCCTTGCCATAAGTTCACTTTTGAATGTTGCAACTCAAAGCAATGCAGTACAGGGTAACTTTGGAGACCTTTAATCCTGTTTAAAATCTGTTTGAAATAGAGAAGTCCAAACGGATCGCAAGTTTAAAAAAACAAACAAACAAACAAAAAACATTCCATGCAATGGAGGAGAAGCTCTGGAAGCCTCTTAATCAGGTATCTACAAATGACCGAGACATTCAAAAACACGTGTACACTAATTCTAGAGATGAAGCTCTAGAATTTTGTACAACCCGAGAATGTTATTAAAGCAAATTTGTGATTCACCAACACAGCAAAATACCCCGTCTCTTCACTCATCTGCTGCTCCCTTCAGCCACAGGCAGTAAAGAAAATACCCAGCAGTTCCATGTTTATGGAGGCGCATGTGCCATCACTGGTGCTTAGTGACTGGTACAGTGTTGTTACATACGGAGGGAGGTCTCAGCCCTGTGTAAGCTCCGAGTAGACCAACTAGAAGCTTACATGGGGCTTCCCTTCCCTGCTCCCATCACCTGAACAAAGTAGAAGTAGGAACTCAGCAAAGGTGATTATGTGCTGCTGGGGAGGAGTCATTAAAATGAAACTGTTGGTTTGACCCACAAGGGCAAAGCACAGTAAAGTCGCCGGGAGTCTGTTTAAACAGCCCCGATGCTGGCGACGTACACTGTACGTCGTCAGTCACGAAGGGGTTAAAGCTTGTATATTAAAGAGCACCTCCAGTCAACTTTGTTTTGTCACCAATCACATGCAGACACATGCAGACTGCCAAGACAGGGTATGATCAGTTTTCAACAAACTAAGTACAGACATCATTTTTACATCAGGCTTACTGTTGTTTAAGAGGCTGTGCTCTTTGTATGCATCCTAAAGGAGAACTATGAGGTGAGTGAAAATCACTTATCCTCATAGTTCGAGCCGACCTGTAACAATGAAACTGTCACACATCGGCTCCATAGATCGGGAAGTGAGTGAACACATACCGTCACTCCTCTATCTATCCCTGCAGAGAGCCGTGACTGTCACTCATGGCTCCCTGCAGGGATTACCCCCCCCCCCCCCCCTGTCCGATCCTCCAGCGCTGACTGGCGGAACGAACGGGGAGGGGACGGGTACAGCTGGCTCTGCATCTAGATAAGCAGAGCCAGCTGTAGCTCGCGATATTGAGCTTTTTTATTGAGCTTTGGGTCACAGGAGGACGCTAGTATATGTCCTCCCGTGACCCCTAAGAGAACTATGGGGAAAAACACTTACCCCATAGTTCTCTTTTAAGGCTTAAGTTTCTAATCTGAGTGTAACCCAAAAGGGCATCCAAAGCTTTTTTTGGGGTAGAGCAAGGAAGGACTAGCAACCCTGTCACGTTTCATTTACCATCTATGCCCCTGCTGGGGAGTTTACCCCTTACTGTTCTGTCCCAGTAACAATTGTGACCAGATCTGAAAAGTAAGGCAAATACAAAATGTTAAGTTGCCACCGGAGCAAAAACGAGGAAGCCTTCACCCCGAACTGAAAAAAAGAAATCGAACACACAGCTGCAAAACAGTGTGGATGGATGAATATTCCCTGCCAAGCTATTGTTATCCTGACAACCGGCACCCTCCGCTGTCAGAATACCCAAACAGTGACTGCAGGTGACTGGGTGACTATTTTCCACCCAGCTTTTTCAACAAAAGTCAACTGAATAATTGTTTTGCCTAGTGTCCATTTCTTCTAAAGGCAGCAGCAGAACCCAACATTGCAGAATTCTTCAGAGCAGTGTCCCTCAATGGAAGAAAGAAAAAAGGGATTAGGTTTTTCCTACTTTATAAAAAAAAAAAGTCTTGGCTTTAGAGTTTTAAGAGTACTTGAAGTTATACAATCTGCTTTTTTACTTTTTAACTTACCTAATGCAGAGGTAGCAATGTCTGGAATGGAAATCCGAACCATAGATCCATTTGTCAGTTCCTAAAACAAAAAAATATTAAAAATGAATGTAAAAAAATTAAGCAACAGTGTATTGATATTTACTTATATTTAAAATTAGATGGCACTTAGGGAATAAGTATTTCCTATGCTATGGAGCGCCGTCTAATGGCCATAATGCAGTACTGCGTCACAATACACTCAATCTGAAAAGAAAACGTAATAGGAATGTTTGTTTTTGTCATTATTAGCACAAACCGAATGTTCACAGATATTTGCGTAGTGAAGAGTCTTTCGACTTGTTTATAAATAGACCCCTTGCAGTTTTCTTTGACTATACTGAAAACTAATGCACAGACTGTCTCTGGAAATCCACAGCAATAATGGAAGCCTCAAATATTAAGTAACTTGAACAACTCACCAGTGTCAGTCTGTTATGTACAGAATCTCTAACAGAATGAATATACATTCCAAAATGATGAAAAGTGCAGTCATCCAAATAATTAGACTCATGGAGCCTGGAGGAGTCCCGCAGCTCAGGAACTGGGGAAAGCAAACCCGCCTGAGAAAAAAAAAATGAAAATAAAGTTCGGTAAGAATGATAAAGGATACATATGGCTTTTATAGCGTGGAGTGCAAATATGACAGCAACCAGTCTACATGTAAATATGACAGCAACCAGTCCACACACACATATTTGAAGGCCAATATTTATATCTAGATTTTTGGTGTCTTTCTAAAATCGCCAAATAACGCAGGATAAAACTATGATATTTGTATGCAAGGATAGCAGGTGTCGTCATACTACTACATCTGCCATCCTGCAATCAATCAATGAAAATCAAACACTGTTCCTCTACTCAGTGGCGTAACCAGAGTTATGGGCGCCCGGGGCAGAACATTTTTTTCGCCCCCCCCCATGCGTCTGCCTGATCCAGCCAGCCCGGATCGCCGCTATGCGATCCGGGCTGGCTGGCTGGATCAGGCAGACGCGCCCTCCAATCAGGCAATGTAGAGGGCCGCCCGCAGTGGCCTCGGAAGAGCGAGCGGCCGCCCGATGACAGCCAGGTGATCGTGTCAGGGAGAGGGAGCCATGGCTTCGTTTAGCGGGGGTGATGACGGCGCCCCCCCTCAGTCCTGCGCCCGGGGCAAGTGACCCCCCCGCACCCCTGGTTGTTACGCCACTGCCTCTACTGTTCACTGTTTAAGGGCACATTTTTAATAGTTGCTGAATGTGCACTCATGAACTAAGCAAGACAAGCTTCTCAAGCTTGTACATGTTACATATCGCCATGAACGTCGCAGTGAGAGCAATAATTCTAGGGCCATCAATCACTGATAACACGAAACTGATGAGCTGTAAAAGCTTTTTTAAAGCGTTGCCTATGATAAATTTTGGCTATGCGGGTGCGCGCAACTTTTAAGCTTGAAATGTTTGGTGTCTATTTAGCCGACGTGACCCCGTCTTTTATATTTTACAAAAAAATTGGGTAATAATAATTGTTTCCTAACAATGTAAAAAAAACTTTTTTTCTTCAAAACGTTCAGTAATCTTTCCTAAATAAAGTAAAAAATAAAAACCCCAGTGGTGAATAAATACCACCAAAAGAAAGCTCTATCTGTCCCCAAAAAATTGTATAAAATTCATTTCAGTACAGCGTTGCATGACGGAATAAATGTCAAAGTACCGCAGCGCTGAATACTGAAAAATGGCCTGGCCAGGAAGGGGGTCTTAACACCTGGTCAGCAAGTAGTTAAAGAATATGTCTTTCACTGTCTGTCCAGAGGGAAGAAAGACAGAATTGTGAGGGAAAATCTCACCAACAAGAACACAGGCAGCAATAAAAATCTGACCGTGATTGTACACCTTCTACATACTATCCAAAGTTAAACAGTTTTAGCTAGAATTCCCCTCTGAGATGGTAAAAAGTCCCACCTAGAAGAAACCAGCTTGGTACAGGTTATGGAATACACAGTGCATGTATCTTAAAATAGAAGCATAATACCATTTCGTCCATAGGTGCCAAATGCTTGTTCAGTGGCTTAGTAGGCGTGCTAACACTCTCCAGCGGGGTGCTTGGGCGAGGCATTGGATTAGACATGGCAAGAGATGGGGCACCCAGTCCTTGGATGAAAATCTTTCCAACCTGCAGTATGAAATGATGAATGTCAATATACATCTATATGAAAAGCACAGTGGCTCAGTGGTTAGCATTTCTGCCTTCCAGCACTATTTGGTCCAAATCCCGGCCAGGACACTATCCGCATAGCGTTTGTATGTTCTCCCTGTGCTTGTGTGGGTTTCCTCCGGTTACCTCTCACACTCCAAAGACATGCTGGAAGGTTAATTGCCTACTGTCTAAATGGGCCCCCATATGTATGTGAGTGTATGTATGCATGTATGACAGGATCTTGCCTTGTAAGCTACTTGAGGGATTGATGTCAACATACAATAAGTAAAGCGCTGTATAAATTGTCTGAACTACATAAATGCCAGTAATAAATAATTTTTCTAAATTACATTTCTAAACATGAAACAAAGAAAAAGGCCCAATGACTGACAAGTATTCATATAACATTTATGGTTTGTGGGTTAGAAAGACTTACCCTAACTGCCCCGGTGTATAAAACCAAGTTCCCATTGTTCTCAAGTATCACCATGGTATCAATGCTCTGAAAGATACAAAACATAGCAGGATTAAAGGACAAGTAACCCAAAACGTCGTTATTTAGTATCAGAAAAGTAGCTGAAATTACCTTCACTGGGGCAGCATCCTTTGCAAAGATATTAGTGACAGAGCCAAAGATCAGCTGTGATTTATCATTGCTTTCTTCAAACTTTACCATACTGAAGAAAAAAAAAATGGTATCTGAGCTATTCAGTTATTTATATATTTTTCTAAAATCAGCAAAAAACTAATACGTAAAATAAGCAATCCACGTGAATTGTTCACAGAGGATAATATATAGATGTCCTGACTGTAATATCACATTATGGCCACAAGATGGTGCTGAAGCAGCACAGAAAATACTTATTTGCTTTATTCTGGGGTGGGGGCGTGGTGGTGCATGGAAGTCAATGGCACCACAGCCACGCCACAACCCCCCGCCCGCAGTGCGATCAGACGCGTGGCAAAACATAGCTTTTATTCCGGTCAACTTCAAACGTAAAAAATAGAGCATGCAGCTTTGTTTAACGTTCCGCAGGCAATGTTTCATCACAAGTCCGATCACACTGCGGGCAGGGGGGGTGTAGCTGTGGTGCCATTGACTTCAATTCCCCCTCCCGCACCAGAACAAAGTGGGAAGTTTAGTGAGCGATTGCTGTGTTCCTAGCAGCAACCGCTCTGGAACGCACCGCAATTGGTGTGAATGGGCCCTCAAAGCACATACTGTAGATGTAAAAGGTCTCTTACTTAACATTTTCAAGCATGAAGAGTATTTTTTTTTTATTTAAAGCTGAACTCTAGGCAAGCAACTTAATCCACTGTAAAAAGACATATATTCCATAGGATTTGTAATTCAGATACCCTGCCATATCCTGGATCTCCACTACAGTTTTAGGTTGGTCCAGAACACACCGTAAAGGCAGTAAAGGAGCAGCAGCAAACTGATGTGTCATACATCGTCTTACTCTCTTTTCTCCTACTGTTAACATGTTCCCAGTCAGGACTACAGCAGAGCTAGACTGGCCCTAATGCTGTCCTTCCCTCTCCTGGTCTAAGTGCTGTTGTGCAGGAGATTACAGAAGGCTGGTATCATACTTTCCCTAGCTGCATTTATGAATACCTACAACAATGTAAAAACATATTTAACGGCATTAATGTTTCTATTATGTAAACCTAAAGTTCAGCTTTAACAAAGAAGCTCTCTGGATTGTATAAAGAATGCTTACCGAAGCTGATGCTGGGATTCTAAAAGGAAACACAGAAACTTCTGTCCACACAGGTCAGTAGTGATAAATACTTTAGTGGCTTGCGAGTTCTTTTCCCTGTGAATGGGAAAAGTGGAGAATATTAAAGACTCGTTTGGTGTCATTCATTAATAGGTTTCAGACACAATTTGCCCAAGACAGAGCACACGGCAAAGAAGGAAGAGAGCAGACTTTTCACTATAAAGTATAAATGAAAAAGAAGAAAAAAAACTTAGATTGGTTAGATTGGAGAGGGATTAGAACACCTGTCAGGTTTTTATTGCCGTCTGTGTCCCCGTTAGGGAGATTTACCCTCTCTATTTGTCCTGGTGACCATTATCACTGAAAGTGAGAGAAAATCCCACATTTTTGGTTGTCATCAGAACAGGAATAGAACATTCCAAACAGGACACTAGCCCTGGGGACCCTGCTGACCACTTTGGAGTGATTTCCTCTCATGTCCTGTTGTGGTTATTGGACAGGTAGTGAAGGGAAATCACTCCAATTAGACACAGATTGCAAAAAAAAAAAAAATCTTACAAGCGCCATAACCTTCGCTTACGCTATCCAAAACTTGGCTTCAGGGATTGCAACTGCATCTACAGAAAATTCTCCATCAAAAGAGATAGATGAGGTTGACTTTAACCTCCACCTCAACTATCTTTAAAGATGACCTAATGTCAGATATATATTTTATATATCGAGTGGGTACAATTTAAGTAATGTGCAAGCGTAATACATAGAGGTATTTATTACCTCTCACACAGATTTCAGTATTGACCTAACAATGACTCCATCTGCATTTCTCTCCAGAAGGACAGAGCCATCTTTATTTAGGCATCTACTCCCTGGACTGAGACAGTGACTCACAGATGGGCCAATCATGTAAATCTGGTACCTATGCAGTTGTTGTTCACAAATGTTTGACACATTTCACCCCTTAGTGTCCTCTTTCACCTTACTAAAAAGTTACAATGTTGTAGTCTGATCACTGGAGAGAGGAGTCTGAAGTAATTCTAAATAAAATCATCTTAGGCTGGCGATACACTGCTATTTCTTTAGTTTACCCCGTGGGCTGAACCAAACAAATAGAGCAGATTCCTCCATCAACACTAGTGTTCGATCGACAGTATCCTGCTGTTTGCATTGTATTATGACAGCAGCCGGCAGCTCATAGCCTGTTTTACGGAATGTTTACATGTTTAACTGGTCATCTGCTTATTGTTTATTAATATAAAAATATATACACACACAATAACCAACTATGCAACAAGATTGCCTGCACACATTTACCTTGTATTTGAAATAGTCTCTGTCCACAGGTGGTCAAGGCAGAGCTCTGGAACAATGGGTTCTGTTTCTGTAGTAAAGTAATCACTGGATGTACTGTTAGGGGAATGGGAGGCTCCTAACCTCTTCGGAGAAGGGGTGTAACTGGAGAAATTAAACCTGTGTACACCAGAAAAGGACTGCACACCTAAAGCTGGAGAATGGGAGCGGCTGTAAAAAATAAAAATGATGAGGTTAAGAAGAAATCTTAAAGCTCTACAAGGAAAAAGTAAAAACTGTGACCACTAAACTCAGGAGTTCAAAAAATGCATTCAAGTACTTTAACTATTAAAAATGTATTTAATTTGTGTATCACTCGGCTGTAGAGTCTCAAATCATCTCTGAATTGCTGCTGACACTGTCCTTCCTTCTGGAGGGTGGCTACTTTTGTTGCCCATGGTCCCTGTGTGTGTTGTAAAGTAGTCATCGCTCCAAGCTCACTCCCGTGATAGACTATAATTTCAGTAGAAATGAGTAAACTCAACATGAGATTGTAGTCCATCACGGGAGTGAGCTTGGAGCGATGACTACTTTACAACACACACAGGGACCATGGGCAACAAAAGTAGCCACCCTCCAGAAGGAAGGACAGTGTCAGCCCCAATTCAGAGATGATTTAAGACTCTGCAGCACAAATGGGCTACATTTATGTTAATAGTCAGGGTACTTGAATGCATTTTGAAGATTTAACTCCTGAGTTTATTGTCACTTTAAGCTACATATGTCCTGAGATTAGAACTCTGCTAGACTGTTAGAGTTAGGGACCACACTGTAAAGAGGTGCCTTGGCACAGCAGTGTGGTTTTATGCATGTTTGCAAATGCATACAACAAAAACCTCTGTTTTTAACATGAGTTTTTAAAACAGTTTGGACTTGTCAGGTCTGACATACACCATAAATGTCAGACCTGACAAAGCTGGAGAAAAAGAAGAACTTTCCTATGAGGACTGTATCTAACAGAACACTGGTTATTGTACATTTTCTTTTTTAACAAGGCTGGGGAGAAAACGGAAGAACTGGCTGCAAACAGGTAAAATATTGTAATAAGTACATTCTGATCTACTTTATAGGTGAAGAATGTATGTCATGATAACCATGTAGCCAATGTGACAGACAAGCACTCAAAAACCTTAGTGCAAACATAATTTTAATGTATTCATCATCCTCTAGCCCTGCAAAAACAAAGAAAAACAATGTTTTATAATGTTTCTTTACCTCAGAGCAGCCATGTTGGAAATAGAAGGAGAATGGGAACGAGAATGGATGCTGGGAGAAGATATTGATCGGCTTTGGCTGTGAAGCGATGAATAGTTCTGGAAAGGTGAAGCTGTTGGTGAATCTCCTTTAGAAACACTGTGCAAGTGAGCTGTCAGAGAGCTGTTCATTAGTCCATGTTGTGGGGTGCCCAGCTGATCCGGATACTTCAAGACTGCAGTCTGTTCCTGTATATGAACAACACACAATAACCATCTGCCACTGTAACCTGCACAAAACTTCAAACATATATGCTATCATAAAGCTATGAAATGTTCTATTATGAAAAACATAGAACATCTCACTTACAGTGACACTAAACTTAGGAGTTAACTATGCATTCAAGTACCTTAACAATACTTATTTGTGTATCACTCGGCTGTAGATCCTCAAATCATCTCTGAATTCATACGGACACTGTCCTTCCTTCTGGAGGGTGGCTACGTCTGTTCCCCATGTTACATGTGTGTGTTGTAAAGTAGCCGCCGCTCCAACCTCACTCCCATAATGGACTACAATCTCATGTTGAGTTTACTAATTCGTACTGAAATTATAGTCTATAATGGGAGTGAGCTTGGAGCTGTGGCTACTTTACAACACACACAAGGGACCATGGGGAACAAAAGTAGCCACCCTCCAGAAGGAAGCACAGTGTCAGCACCAAGTCAGAGATGATTTGAGAATCTACAGCCAAGTGATACACAAATAAGATACATTTTTGCTAGTAGTTAAGGTACTTGAATGTAATTGTAAGATTTAACTCCTGAGTATAGTGTCACTTTAATAGTTAATAGTTAGGGTATTTCAGTTGTCTCCTCTGCTGATTGACAGCAGACAGTGGGCAGGTGCAATAGCCAGCCTTCTATTGGCTATTGCAATTTAAAATAACCAATAACAGGTTGGCTATTGCTTCAAGCCACTGCCTGCTGTGTTGACATTCAGCTGCTCTGGCAGCTGAATCCAGTGAAGTGGAAAGGTGACTCTAGGGGTAAAGGACCCCTAAGGTCACCTTAAAGAGAACCTGTCACCTTAATTGTGCCATCACATAGGGGGCGTGTGAGCCCCCCATGTGATAGCAATGAGGCAAAAAAAAAAAATTATGTAAAAAATAACATGAAATTAAAAAAAAATCCCCCTCCCCCAAAAAAAAGAAAGTCCCCCAATCCTGCAAACGTGCGTATACTAACAAAAACACAAGTCGGGTGTGCCTACATAGAAAACCGATGATTGCGCTACATACTTTTTTTAACAAAGTAGTAAGAAAAAAGGCAGAAAGAGTTCGAAACTCTGACAGATAATTATTAAAACTGATCATATATTTTACATATACACACAATTTTTCTTTCCTTACTTCTGATTTGACTTTGCGCAGAGCCCATACTGTATGTGCACCCTGAACTGTATCATAGGTCATCACAATGGATGGGTCAGAATAAGTGAAAACAATCCTTAGAGCATTATCAGAAACGTACTGCACCCGAGAGCTGGCAAATATACCTGTAATAAAGGTAAAAAGTCAAAGGGAATGTGTAGTATTTGCAATATTTTTTTAAATACATGATCACCGTGATATCAATATTTGTTATTACATTAATACAAAAAATGAAAAAAAAATTTCTCTGTGACGTTTACAATTATGTATGAATATAGGAGAAGTGATAATTGCTCAATGCATATGCAGGCACTACTTCCTGTGTTACTGTGCTGCACAACCGTTCTCTTTGCAATGCAAGCCTATAGGTCAGAAAATAATTGAGAACAATGTACTCTGTCTGCCAGTTTTGTAATCCTAATACTGTACTTGTTATTGAGTGATGATGTGCAGGGGGGCTTCCTGTGAATCTAGATCACCAGAGTTGACCAAAGCCAGCACAACACTGTCACTGACACACACCCCTCCCAGTTGCGGCTGGGATTTTCCTTGCCCCTCAGCTACATGTCACAAGGGGGCATAGAATGTCCCTTCCACAACTGATTTGGAGGGGGGCATTGTCAGTTACAGTTTTGTGTGGGCTTTGGCAAACTCAAGCAAACTGGGTTCGCACCAAGCCCCCTCACGTCCTTATTAATGAAAGAGGCAGTCACTGGAAACTGATTGTTTGATCCTTCTAGTGGTTACATTTACAAATCAATATTTATACAATAATAAAAACATGGAAGAGCAAGCATTTACAAAATGTAAAAGTCGCATCACAAATTACTTTAATATACAAACTGCAATAATAAGGGATTATAACCCAAATCTTGCCTCCAACAGGATTGAAACAATGGTCAAAGGAGACAGCAGAGGAGGTGCCCACAGCAACAAATGTGAAGGTTACAATGAACAATACCTCCTTTTTGCTTTTAAAGTGACACTATACTCAGGAGTTGAATCTTACAATTACATTCAAGTACCTTAACTACTAGCAAAAATGTATCTTATTTGTGTATCACTCAGCTGTAGATCCTCAAATCATGTGGGAATTAGTGCTGACACTGTGCTTCCTTCTGGAGGGTGGCTACTTTTGTTCCCCATGGTCCCTGTGTGTGTTGTAAAGTAGCCACCGCTCCAAGCTCACTCCTGTGATGGACTACAATCTCAATACAAATTAGTAAACTAAACATGAGATTGTGACCCATCACAGGCCTGAGCTTGGAGCGGTGACTTCTTTACAACACACACAGGACCATGGGGAACAAAAGTAGCCACCCTCCAGAGGGGATGACAGTGTCAGCATGAATTCAGAGATGATTTGAGGATCTACAGCTAAGTAATGTACAAATAAGCTATATTCTTATTAACAGTTAAGGTACTTGAATGTATTTTTAAGATTTAACTCCTGAGTTTAGTGTCACTTAAATGTTGGTTATTGTCAAAATAAAACTTTCCCGAGTGAAACAACGAAGGCTGCAATTGCGGTTTTCTTATTCTTCAAATGCTGGTTGTTTGGTTGTCATACTAACCTGATGACTTGAAATCTTGGAATCGCTAACCTAGCATCAGTAAAAGAAATTAAATAGCCAACATGGCACAATGACATATATACGGTAGTGTATACTTCTACTAATGGGCAATAAAAAGAGTTATTTATTTTTGTGATATATGAGTGACAAAGGTTGTGTTATTATGCATTTCTTCTTAATTTGTGAACTCACCTCCTGATCTGTACACTAGAGGTGTGATTTCATCTAATGGATGCAGCATGCTGAACATAGTTGGCAAAGGTTCCCTAAGGAAGGAAACAATTCATTACAGAGGAACTCCAATAATAGTAACCATTGTGCACACTAAACCTTTAGTCATTACTGGATCACAGCTTGAGCAAATTAACTGGTGAGCCACTCTAAACACTTCAATCTAAAAGTCATGCCTAATAGCAGGTACCATAAGGGAGCATAGAGAGTGAGGAGTAGGAAATGGAAAGGATGAGAGCAGGGATGGCAATGGAGGATGCGTCATTTGTTTCACTTTTGTTTTAAAACACATATTTGCAGTAAAAGGGAGCAGAGCAAAGTGGTGGGTTCCTGAGATTGAAAAGCTGAATGTACACAGGAATTTTCCAGAACTACTGACCGAAAATAGAAATTGCTGCTCTCTCTTTATATTATACAATATTTTCTTTTAAACGCTTACAATTACTGTTGTTCTTTATTAGGAAATAAACAGGCCTATAAATAAAGCTGAGGTAATCATCATCTTTTCATAAACTGACTAAACTGCTCAAAAGCTAAAACTATGTCCCAACTTTTTGGAAATGATGTTCCCAATACCATAGAATCCTTTTATCACGTACAACTTCAACACACTACTAAAAAGCAAGTGGGGCTTTCCAATGTGGATCTTTCTCCTACAAATGTAGAAAATGTTTGCTGAAATCTGGTGCAGGTAAATGAATCTCCTTTTTTTTCATGATAATGGCAAACTAAATGCAAACTAGGTTCACAGCTGCCACACAAAGCTGGTCTTCTATAATATCAACCATATCGGAGGATGATTGGCAAGAATTTGAGACAGCTTATCTGTCAACCCTCAGCTAAAGTTGTTCATCTCAAACTATTTCATCAAATGTATTATACCCCCGCAAAGCTATATGCTCTCAGATTATGTACTCCACAATCCTGTGTTGAAGAGGTGGCAGGTTGTTGCCGATTTCTTGCACACTATTTGGTTATGGGACCCAATTTTAAAATTCTGGCGTCAGGTTTTGGCACTCATCACTGTCTGCTTTGATCTGCCAGGAATCCTCTCAACTGAAGTATGTCTTTTGGGCCTGTTTGGGTATATATCACTTTCTTCCCATCAGAAAAAATTTCTTCAGGAGGGGGTAGATACAAGACCTAACTATGAGGACGAGTGGAAATCAAGTCACCTCATAGTTCTCCTTTAAGTTATATGATATATCCAACTGGAGAAAGCCCTATTTCTTAGTATCCAGTTTCCTGCAGACAAAAAAATGAGCCCATGTATACATGAGCTTTCTAAATTTTGTAGGCTAAAACTCATTCAAAGGAACAGCTGCCATTTAATTAAAACTCTATCACCGCATTGGATAGCATCAATATATTTGGAAAAAGTTAAACTTGACTTTTCCATTGATCATAAAACATCACTTACCTAGGAGGACTGTGTGGCACCTCATGTGATTGGCTGTTACGTTCAAATAATAGGCCATATTTTGTTGGCCAGACTGTTGCAACCTAAGCAACACAGATTGAAACGATGAGAAATAACACAGAGAAAAAATGAGGTGAAACAACTTTATGGATGGTTCTGCATGTGTTAGGGCTTTGCTGTCAAGGGATGGTTTTTGCATTTAAATGCAATGGTGCCCAAATGCCTTCAACACACATGCATAAGACATGCTAAAGGGAATTTATCAAAACTGGAGCAGACAAAATCTGAAGCAGCTGTGCATGGCAGCCAATCGGCTTCTCTCTTTCATTTTCCAATCTGAACAAACTGAAGAGAGAAGCTGATTGGTTGCCATGCACAGCTGCTCCAGTTTTGATAAATTCCCCCTGCTGTGTCCAGAGAAAAGCAACACAAAGTAATAGTAGGATTTGTACTGTATGCTTTTATGAATCCTTTCAGCTATATGATCCATTATCCTAGTTTAATCACACTCTGTTATTTTTCCTAATTGTATGCTCCAAGACCCACGGAATTTAAACTGTATATAATAAAGACAATAAAAGTGATATTAAAGTCAAAGGGTTCAAATGCTGATTAAATGATTTACAATGATTGCTGCTCCTTGACATTTAAAATTTTTAGCTTGGGGCAGAATTCGCACTGGCCCTGATATCTCATCCTGTTGTTGGGTTCTATGGAGCCACCCTTGTGTGTGCTAGTTTTCTTCTTATCTTGGGCCCCCCCCCCCCCCCCCCAAGCAAGTAGATGGTCGACTGTTGGAGACGTTTGTGCTGTCCCTTGTGATCTTGTACTGGACAGGAAGTTTAGTAAAGTGGAGCTTAGAGATCTGATTTCATTATGGGGAAAAAAAAAGTTTGAGTTTAATACAACTTTAAAAAAGTGGCTAGCTATGGCAACATATTTATAAAGCCTAAACCTTTTTTTTTTTTTTTGTACACATAACTTTAATTATGAATGATTACTATATTAAAAGTTATGTATAAAAAAACAGACAAAAATACATAAATCAGAAGTATCTGGTACTGTGATAATGAAAATTATATGAAGCTTAGTGTAGCCCATTGCTCTAAACTGCCAGCTAAATGAGGTAAAAGGAAGCCTAAGGCCTGGTTCACACCTGCACCTACGAACGCTCTACAAAACGCTCAAACATGAAAATCCCATTGTTTTCTATGGGTATGGTTCACACCTTGCCGTATTTCAGCCCGTCTGAACGCGCTACAAAACAGCCTACGCCTGAAAAGGAACTGCTTGTAAAGTTCAAGGTTGGAGTCGGTGCAAAGGTCAGCCACATCAGATCCCAGAAGCACAACATTGGCAGAGAGGTTGCTTGATGATGAGACAGCTGCTTGGCCTCAAAAGAAACGTGTTGGCATAAAACTATGGGGAGAAGCCCTTACCAACTTGTTTTTAAGGCAAACTCTCTGGGGCTGTAAATCTAATCCTTTCTCAACACTAGTTGGCGAGTCACTGATCCAGAACAAACATGCGATATATCCAACCTGCACCTTCAAAAAAAACAACAAATTGGCAACAGATGCTCCCATATTTCTATTCTGACAGGTGCCCTTATGGTACAAAAATGGTAAAGATTCTCTAAAATGTTAACTACTGATATTACTGCTCTGATCAGTCCACAAGAACTGTAGTCCTCCTTACCTGAAAAGGCAAAGGTGTTATGTAATCCTTCCCTTCTGTGTTATGGACATTGATACAGGAGCTCTGCAGAATACAGATGCATTTCTCCAATTTATCTTGGCCTGATAATAACACATGATAAAGCCAGGTATAATTAAACATAAGGTGTTTTTTTTATTTTAAAGCAACGCTAAACTCAGAAAATAAAAATAACTTCTATTATATAAATAATCAATAACTGTGTACCTTATTGTGCCATTGTTTAGCTCTAAATGCTCCAAAATCCGTCTTATTTTCCTCCCTCCATAATTTCCTGCCGGAGGGTGGCTACTTTTCATGGTCCCTATGAGTACTGAAGAGTAGCAACCCTCTGTGCTGGTTCATGTGAAGGACAACATGCTGAGGACGTGTCTTCTCAGTCTCCGCCCTCAAATCATTCCCTCTAGACCCTGCAAGGAGCTGGGATTTCTTCAGCTCTCCCACACTCAGACCCCATTCACACTGATTGATTTGTAGCGCGATTTCAGCTCAAAAAAATCACACAAACATTAGCTCAATGTAGCTTGTCCAATGCATTTCAAATGGAGCTGTTCACATCTCACAGCTCAATGCCGCCTATAGCTTGTAGCTCAAGCATATCGCTTGAACATGACCTATTTTTCGGCGGATTTCCTGCAATTTGGCCCCAATAGACTTCAATGGTGTAGCTCAATGTCGCACAAATTTATGTGGGGTGAGCTGCTTGTGAGGAGATTCAGCATGTGAGATGTCACCAGCCACATACTTTCCTCTTTCAGCTTACATGCTGAATCTGGTCACAGAGGATACGGCTCCTACATTTGAAATACAATTGTGTTTTTTCTGTGTAGATTGTTGTAAACTTCATGTTTGTTGTAGATTTGTTGTAAATATGATTGTTCGTTGTAGATTTGTTGTCAGTAGTTTTGATAATTCAGAGCATTGCAGAGGAGATTACAAGCAGTGAAACTGTCACAGTGTGTTTAGTAAGGAGATATTCTATATCATTATAGCACATCTCTATACAGTACGCTGCCTTAATCTCTTACTATATCAAGACTTAAAAAAAGGAAGGAAGTATTGTATCAGCAGATTCACCATTCTCTTCTGCTTTAACTACCTCTCTCTCAGACATGCCCCCGTGCACGCTCGGGAAATGCCCCATATTAAAAACGTGCAGCAATGCCTGTTAATATACAAGCGATCCGCCGGGTGTAGAGCCGGCGGATCGCTTGTATGGGGTAACGATCGGTGTGTTCACCCTCCGCGGTCGTCGTCCCCTTCCGTTGTCATACTGGTCCCGGGCTCCGATGTGCCCGGTGCGAGCCCGGGATCAGCATGGTGCCTGGAAAGAAGCTGATGGAGTAGATCTGTGCTTCATCAGCTTCTTTTGGGGGGTCCTAGGTGACATTAGGGGTCTTGGAGACCCCCGATGTCTCCATAGAGAGGACCTGTCACATATTTTTCCATCACATAGGGGGGTTTTATTAGCCCCCGTATGTGATAGCAATAAAGTTTAGAGGAAAAAAAATAGGAAAAAAAAATTAAAGTCCCCAAGAAAATTTAAAGGTACACATTTGTTACACAAAGAATAAAAAAACAAAAACATTTTTTTAATTCCCCATCCATACATACATGCGTCGGGGGCGCATACGTGCAAAAACGACGATTGCGCCCATTATACCGCACATGTTACATATCGGCACGAGCGTCGCAGTGAGAGCAATAATTGTAGGGCCATCAATCACTGATAACCCTTAACTGATGAGCGGTAAAAGCTTTTGAAGCGTCGCCTATGGCCAATTTTGGGTATGGTCGTTTTCTGCGATTTCGCGGGCACGCGCAATTTTAAAGCTGAACATGTTTGGTGTCTATTTACCCGACGTGACCCCGTCTTTTATATTTTACCAAAAAACTGGGTAACAATAAATGTTTCCTGACAACCATAAACGCTACATTTGGAGGAGTCAACAAGGCCTATGATGAAAAGTACACCATTCCTACTGTGAAACACGGAGGTGGATTGCTGCTGTTTTGGGGATGTGTGAGCTACAAAAGGCACAGGAAAGTTGGTCAGAATTGATGAAGGCACGATGAATGCAGTATGTTATCAAAAGATACTGGAGGACAATTTGCATGCATCAGCCCGGAAGCTGCGCATGGGACCTACTTGGACATTCCAACATGACAATGATCCTAAACACAAGGCCAAGTCGACCTGTCATTGGCTACAGCAGAATAAAGTGAAGGTTCTGGAGTGGCCATCTCAGTCTCCTGACCTCAATATCATTGAGCCACTCTGGGGAGATCTCAAACGTGCAGTTAATGCAAGACAGCCCAGGAATTTACAGGACCTGGAGGCTTTTTGCCAGGAAGAATTGGCAGCTTTACCATCTGAGAAGATAAACTTCCTCATCCACACATACCACAAAATACTTCAAGCTGTCATTGATGTTAAAGGGGGCAAAACACCGTATTAAGAACTGGGGTATGTAAACTTTTGATCAAGGTCATTTGGGTAGTTTTTGTTGTCATTATGATTGGAAAAGAGTAAACACAGTTGATTGATAACAAATGGCTTCAGCTAAACACTATATATATAGATCTATATATATTCCCAGCCAAATTATATATTTTAACAGAAAAGCATAAAAAACGTTAGACACATGCTTACTTTTAGTAATATTAGTTGTTCTTTGAATTAAAAAAAAAAAAACACAACATTAGCTTACCTTCTGTATCTTCAGATTTATTGCGAAGTATGGTAAAGTCACACCAGAGGGCCTGGAGACAG